AGTGCTTTTACTGTTTTGTTTTTGAAATTTTACTTTCAAAAGCAGGCTGAATTATCTCAGGTGTTTTTCACACCCACAGGATACAATACACAGCCCACTTCTTCCCTCTCCAACATATACTAAATATTTTCAGTAGCTAAGCGACTGCAGATGAATTGAAGTGCGTTCACGTCAGTGAATTGTATTTTAGGCTGGCTCCCCAATATACACGTTCATCTAGTGTGCAAATTAGCGATAAAGCAATATTGTTTTTGTTCTATTGTCTTCGCTGCAAGACAAGTGCTTTCCAACAGTAATTGCAAGGTAGAGTTAGCCAATCATCACACAGTATTGTTATCGCCTAACCTTAATATATCACTGGGTTTATGCCGGTAAAACTTTGAAACGTCGTCAGGGAAAAAAAATGAGAAGGAGAAAGTTTTTAAACCAGAACACAGGCTTAGCAAATATTCACTTGTATGATAAAAGAGATGCGGAGGAGATGAAAAAAAATCGAGATCTGTTAAAAGATTATCGACAATCAATTTGAATGAATGTCACTTACCCCAATCAAAGAAAGTCAAATGAAAGTTCTGTGAGATTTCTGTCTTCACACTAACAATGCTGACTTTACAAAATAGTTTCCGAACATTCAAGAACTATGAACTCAAATAGTTACCGTAGACTCGACCAACATTTTTTATGGAAATTTTAAATATTAAGTGCATTTGGTTAAAAAAGAACAAAAATGTTGTGTTGTGTTTCAAAATATGTTGATTTTGTTTTTGCTTTTTTCCTCCTCTGATATTTATCATAACAGACTGAATAACTGAATTTGAAAAAATCCACTCAGTTTAAAAGGCAAAAAAAGGCATGATTATAAATTTGAACGATATCTAATCGACGGTGGTAACAGACCAAATTAAGAGAAAACTGGAGTCAAAATTCATTCAAGCCCAAGGAAAAGTTGGGGAATTTCTCCTTGAGTCAGGGAAAATTAACTTCTTTGAAAGAAATACCTTTGTCAGAAAAATGTCCTTTCCTTTGTTATGTACGTGCAAGCCGGTTTGCGAATTATATTGTACAGTGAAGAAATGTAAAGTGGTTTCCGTGTTTACATCAGGCTATGTAAACAAGGAAACCATTTTACATTTCTTTTATAAAATAACTAAAGAAAGAGAAACGAAAACCGTGGTTACATACGCTCATGTAAAATGGTTTTATGGCCAATCAGAGCGCGCGTACTATTTGAATTATTTTATAATTCCTTTTCTTCTACTTTCATTGTGTTCTAACATTAAATTCTTCGGTACATTTCACAGACACGAACGTTGTCGGACTGATAGACTATAGGCCATCGGCCCTTTTTTGTACGGTCCTCGCTGCGCTCGGTCCGCACTGCTACTACCACGGGCCAATATTACCCGGTAAGGCCCTCACGCTCGGTTAGCAAGAAGTTAATATCTTTTATCTTTCACGAATTAAAACACCGTTTAATAATTTATAGCTGTTACAGGGCAAAGGTTTCCGCAGGAAAAAATGATGGGACCATTATTTTCTTTGGTTTCAGGCACCCAGTTTACAGCTGTTTATTTTAATAACTGCTTGCTGTACAATCGATAAACACTTTTTTAAAAGTTGCACAGGTATGGGAAATCGTAACAACGTGGATAGCGCGTGACATATGGTGACCAATTGTAAAAAGTTGATGATATGTGAGTAAAATATGCAGATGGAACTACTTCCATCAAAATTTAATAACATTGTGCCCTATGGCAAGAAATAAACAGTCATTGATTAACCACTAGTTTGACTTCTGTTTTGACCGTTGTTCATTGAAATAACAAAAGGGACGATTTGGTTTGCACCAGAGGCGGTGAAATGTCTGAACCAAGCTGGATAAGAAGAAAAGCTAAAATTTGAAACGTGTGCTACATTGTTGTTTGATTACACGATGCGTAGGAAAGAAGTCATATTTTGGAGAGGGTCTCTGCACCAACAATGTTAGAAATAAAACAACCTTACTACACTAAAGTTAAAATTAACAATGCAGACTTTTGTGATTCTTATCAGTGAATTTTAAGTAATTATATCTGATATTTTCAGTCAAAATAATTTAAGTTTCAACGAGACGACAAAATGTTGATTCGGTACCGGAAAAAAAAAGACAGAAAAAACAATTTTTAATCAAGAAAGAACGAGGATGGCTGAAAATGGAGAGAACTTTTTCAATGATAACAAATGACTAACTTGTACGAGTTAGGTTGATTAGGCCGAATGCGTTTTCGTAACCGGAGAAGCAATGGATTCTATGTCTTTCGAACTGCATTCTAGCCAAGTTTGAAATATTTGTGCGCCTATTACTGAGTTTGTGTCTTATCTGCTTTTTCGGTGTAAATATTCTTTCTTAAACATCACACTGGTGAACGCATTATAACTGATGATCCTTCCAATTCTCATTAGTCGAAGACTGGTTCATGTACTCGCAACTTCTGGAAAACCTCATCGCTGAAATAGTCTTTGTAATCAGCCATGAATTTTGAAGCAAAATTTAGGCACAAAATGTCGCTCACTCTTCATATAAATTAACTTGCTCGGCAGGCCTTGGCGTATTTAAACTCAGGAAAGACAATTTCTTTGTCTTTTTCTTCTGTTCTCGCCTTACTGTCAAAACTAATTACATCAGTTTACAATACTTTACCATAACGCTGCTCAAAGAAATTCGTGAGTCTAACTTGTTTAAAGTTGGTACATGTCTAGAATCTATCAACTACAATTCCAAGTTAAAGCTACCTAGTACGTCGTGCAATCATCTGACTAAAAATTACTCACCTTTCTTAGGCTGTATTTACGATTTTTCTATGTCGTGGGAAAATTTGCGCATATTCTGTGCGACTTTCGTAAGGGGTCATTACGGGTCAATGACATGGTATCTAAACAAAACATGGCATCTTGAGACCCAGTCTTTTTCCCACGGAAGTACAAAGGGAGACAAGAGTACACCAAAAACCTGGCGAAAGCTTTCGATGCAAGGATCTCATAAGGACATTTTTTACTTCAAGATTTCTTCATAATTGAAGTCGTGTCGTGGTGATTTCACTTTCCAAAATTTAGCTTGTTTCATTCGGTTAACTTAGATCTGCTTTTCAAGTTGTTTAACTAAGCGATTTCTATAAAGTGTTTGTCTTAATCGTTGGCTTGAATCGTTCAATCACGTAAATTCTATGAGCTGAGATAAATCAGTGAATTGTCTGCCGCTCCATACAACACGGCTTTGGAAACAAACGACAAGTAAAAATTTGCCTACAAAATGTAACACTGTGAGAGAATCCGCACTTTTGCTTTCTAACAGGAGGGATTTTTTTTCCACGATAGTTTAAAAACGTCTAATTATTTTAGCAAACGATTATGAATCATTTTAACACCGATGTAAATATTTACAAGTGGTTGCATTTGCATAAAAGCGTTTCAAAGATACTTTTCCCAAACAGTTTGGTGTTTTGATTGCGAAGTCAGTAATAGCGTCTTGGCTTTCTAGTTACAGAATAAATTATCCTGCCAACGCAAGCTCAAGACGAAGGGACTTTTTTTTATTGCCAACATTATTAGTGAAATGTGAACTTTGAAATACACACTGAAAATATATTTTTTCTTACCTCAATCGCCAATTCACCAGGATTAACGATTATAAACTCATAGGCATTTCTATTTACTTTACGTTGGGACTGGATGATGTGCTAGCAAGTTTCTTTCATAGACAAAAAACTTTTCAAGTGAATTTTGTCGTAGAAAAATCGAAACTGTGACAAAAATGCATGTACGGAATATATTCTACAAAATTAGCATTCAAAAGCGAATTGCAAGGATCTCACTCAGTGGTTTCTTGCCTTAGTCGCTCTTGCATTGATAGCGTCACAAGGACAACAAAAAGTTGTCTCGCAAGTTTTTAACAGTTCGAATTGGAAATTGAAGTGTTTGTTTTTGTGCAGATCAGACCAAATGTCGTTCTGACACTCTTTACTGGAAGCAACAGCACCCCTGACGGGGCTCCAATCCCTTTGTTAACTAAGTGTCAACTTAAGTCCCTTTAGGGTCTCATGAAACCTCGTCGCAGTTTCTACATCTTGTTCGTCATGTGCAGTTTTTGTCATTCTCCCCCAATTCTCCCCATTCTGGTTCCTTTTTGATTTACTCTCATTTTTCAAATTTTGTTGTTTTTAGAAACAATTATTTTGTGATTTCTCTCAAGCTATGGGTGGTTTTCCTTCAAAAATATCTTGACGTAGCTCAGTCAAGAATTCAACAAACCATCAGAGTTGAAGTTGAGGACCATTTAAAATTAAATTTAGACCATTTTTGGAGTGACATGCATATGCACACAGTCAAAGTAAGTTAATCGTCCACCTCAAAGGCTATTTATTCCTCTATGCATTTACAGTTGCACGTCATGTTTCGTGATTAAACAGGCTTCAAAGCGCGAACCTTCCACCTTTAAATCCCAGAAGCAAATCTAATCTGTGATCGGTCAACTTCAAGAAAAGTGGTTTTATCATATTTGCGAATTAATTGGCCAGAGTCTAATACTTTGCGCAGAGGTCAACGATAGTTTTAAGAAACTCATTTGTGAAGCAGTTATTTTTTTAATTAATCAGTGTCTCTAGTATGCATGGAAACCAAAATCTGATGGCAGCACGGCGCAATAACTTGTTTTCACTTAAATAATCAGGTTTAAACCATACCTCCATCATCTTCCTCACGGAAGTTATGCTATGGATTTTGGCCAATCACAGCAAAGGCAAATTGTAGAATGCATAAACCAATCAAAGCTTGCAAACACAAACACTGATGCAAGGTGTAAGAGAAGCAGAGAGCGCCAGATTCTTGGTGGATCATAAAAGTTCGTGGCTCTAGTTAGAAAGCTTTCTTCACGCAAAGCTGAAAAGAAAAGCACTTTTCTAACGCTGAATAAAATATCATGCCGCTACTCGCGCATAGAAGAATGTAAAATCTAATTTACTTACTCAGGTGAAGAGGAAGCCATTTCTTCTTGGCTGGTTACTTGCGCAGACATCTTCTCCACCTCTTCCTCAGAAGTCATAACTAATTGAGGCAGAAGACAACACAATTATTCGATATAGCATGATGTTTTTCGTTTCCTTGTTTTTTTTTCACGACATGTAAGAAAGGTTTCTTTCAATAGTATTACTGATACGTAAAAAAAGCAACATCTATTTTGTGGTTTACGTAAACATTGACCTCAATTTGGCAAGAGTCGAAATCCGTAAGTCATTTGTTCAAAGAGACAAACAAATGTGTTATGGTTGAATTAAAAAAAAAAAAAAAGATCTGTCGAGTCTCCTTTTTTGTCTGTCTGAGAGCCTTGCCAACTTGTTAAATTTTGGCAAACTTTTTGGCTTGCCTAATTGGAGTGTGAAGTATTATCTTGTTAATCTCTTATCCGAGATTAACACTGAAAATAGAACACTAATTCACTTTAAAGTCGGGGTATATCACGGGATACTCCTCGTGTTTGATAAACAATAGACAATAAACAATTCCCAATTCCTAAAGCTTCGCGTTTACAATGGAAGACCCCCAACCTTGGCCAATACTGCTGAAGACGGCTTTAAGAACTCGCCCACCTTTCATACAACCTAAAACCTTCGCTTTCGGCTCTCGTTTTATTTGGACAGCGGTGCGATCGCGAATGGTAAACCATTACATGATTGTTACATCACATGTCTAACCAGAGGAGTACCCTGATGCCATGCATGGGTGTGTACCTCCTACGGAGCATAGTAAATAATTAAAACAGATAGAAGAGATATCAGCCTAGGATGTACTATGCCAACACTTCCTCAGTCAGTTTGGATCTTCGAATTAAAAATTTTCATTGATTAAAAAGCGAGTTCTTAAAAACCATACAAGAAACCCATGTCGCCTTTCGCTGGTTATAAAGGGATTTTGAGAGTTATAAGGCACGTGTCTCAAGGAAAATAATAACATCCCGAGAGAAGACCTTTGAAGTGGAAAATCATGATGTCTCTGTTTGTTGTCTTTTTTCAAGAAGATTAAAGTTTGGTCGATAAGATCATTGCGAAAAATTTAAGAATCAGTAACATCAAAACAATAACATCGATCTTAACCGTGCACATTAAAGACAAATGCAACTCCCCTCGAGAAATCCTTCACCAGCCTGAATAGATAGCCACCCTTTCAAAAACTTACAGACTTGAGGTCAGGTGATTATCTTTTTGCAAACACGATGTCGTAGGTTACCGGTAGTACAATTATTTCTCTCGAATTTCGCGTGCATTCACTGAATTCTTGTTAAAATCCGCATCATAAATCGAATTTCTGCAAGAGTAGTAATTACGTTTTGCGCATTTCGACATGTATCAAATTACTTGATAAGAGCTACATTCTTGGTGTAACTGATCAAAAGAGTCCCGGGGGAGAACTCTTTTCGCCATATAAAAAATCAGCGGATTTCTCTCAAAAGGGCAGCCTTTCTAGGCATATGGTCAGTAGAAATTGTGTAGACCGAATTTCATAAGGTGAAGCGTATGAAGGGAAAGCGAAATCTGCCTTTGGCCCCCGACATCTATCTTTTTTTATGGCACAGAAAAGGGCAGCAATTTGAAGGGGTATGGAAGTAAACCGCTTTCCTATTCAGAAGTTTGATATCGATCGGATCGAGGGAGGCCCAATATAAAATTTAGTCAATCCCCTCCCCTCCACCCCAACACCGTGTCTTAGGGGAGATAATTATAACCTGAACCGGATTCCCTCGGCCGCTAATCAACAAGTTTTCCTATGATTTTCCATGGTTGTAAGTTTTTAACATTTTTTTACAATAGTCCAACGAAGCAAAAAATACCAATAATTCTTGCCTCACAAAAGATCTTTTCAACAAAGAGATCTTTTAATTTCTATGCGTGTGTGTTCCAGACTTAGTAGACCGAAATCCGCCCCCTAAACGGTATCATGCTTTTTGGCGAATGTTTGATCGCCGGAAATGAGCATTAAATACCGAGACAGACATAGTTTTAATCTAATTCAAGGGTGGATTTCAACAAATTATTTTCTTAACGAAGAGGGGGGCTAATACGAAGCAGATGTGAATTTCTGAGATTTGCAGAATATTGCTTCTTCATTGTTTCCAACGGCACTCATCTTACTTGTGATATCAAATTCATGAAATGTAGTTGTTTTCGAGAATATTGGTTGTAGGTTAAATTTACCTCTGACGTAAATGTATTTCCTTCATCAGAAACGTAAACATTATTCTTTGGAGACTAAAAGTGTTTAGCTCGAATTAACCGGTCCGTTTGACTAAGTAGGTAATCATTTTTAACTGATGAAAAAAAAACAAATTGGTTTATCGACATTATTTTTGTATTAACAGTCTGTGACGCTAACCGCGTCCAGAGATGAAAACATAGTGTTATTATTCCACCTGTAATATTAAATAAACAGGGCTTGATTATCTGAACAGTCGTCCTCGGTTCATTCGTGATTTATGTTGACGTGATTTGCAGTAATTTCTTGGTACTATAATTGATTTTGCAAATGGCGCTTGAAGCCCTACTTGCACTACCCACTACCAAAACAAACCCCGCTCGCACGGTTAAGTATACATAAATATTTGTCCGAAATGCGCCAAAGAGGGACTCGCCATTGTGCTTGGACATATCCTGTAAAAGCTTACTAACCTTGTAGTTTATTGAGTAAGATTTGGATGATTCTTTGCAAAATAACGCTTGGAATTTATCATATGTGTTATGCGTGAGCTTAGTGTTGGCTAGGAGTCTTGAGCAAGAACAATGATCGACAACAATCCTCAGGGTAAGCTCGTCAGAGAAAAGATGAAACTGAAAAGTTATTGAATTGAAACACAACCCACCAACAGGTTACTATCGAATCTACCGCACAATTTTGTGGTTCAGTTCGGTTATCACCACCCTGGGAAAACATTTGTGTCGGAATCACGAGTAGCGTCTAACGAGTGATTCGCAGACTGGTCTGGGAAAAGGAAACTTGCTTCAAAGAACGCTCAAAGGTAGCTCAGCGTTTTGTGTCGTGTGCCACAAAAAATGGATGCCAGTTTCCGGGTAAAACCTCATGAACTAAAAACTTGGTGCGTACCTTCGGTAAACAAAGCAAATCACCGAGCGAACACGACTTTTGAGTCAAATGATTCCGTCGAAATTAATTTTTTTTTTCAGCTCGATTCTTCGATATACGGTTTCGAAACGTGCATCATGCCAAATTTGCGCAATCGAAACATGATATGATGATTGAACCTTGTAAATTCCCACTGAAATACAGTAATAAAGGAAAGGAAATACACTCACCAATGCTGTTAGTTGAACTTCATCACTTTCAAAGGTGATCTTCCGCGAGTAACATGTTTTGGACTTAAGATGAAGCAAGCTTCGGTTGTCATCCTCCGAGGCTTCGTGGACCAGATAACTCCTCAGTCGAAGTTCAAAACATCAACCTTTTCACGCAAGAACTCTACTGTTTCATCAAGATGCTAGCCAAACGATTACTGCAGCCAAGAACCGCGTTCAAGTTACAAATCTGTGACGTACCGTAATACAAGACTATCTAAGTGTTGAATGATGATAAATCTTTGGATTTTTTAGGATCATACCAGCCGTAACCGGAAAACATGCGAAACATTTCCACCAAGCGCATTATAAGTGATAAAGAGTTACCGGCTAAAAAAGGCTCGGAAATATCAACCTTGAATGTTATTTTACGGAAAGTCACTCTTGTTTTCTTGGTGTTGGTGACTGTTACATGCCTTTTTCTGTCCCTTCGCTTGAGGCAACGAAAGATGATCTTCCTGAAATTGAAATAAATGCATATTGTATCGTGGACCAGGCTGTCTAGACTTTCTTTGATATAGAGACTACAATACGCACAAGATGTTGATAGCTCTTCATTCTCAGACTTCATATGAGTAAGCAGGTTGTCTGCTGTACTTTTGCCAGTCTAACCTTAAGGGAAACCTGCTTCTCACATTGCGTGATCGATACGTCTTTGATGTTGATAAGTTTGTGTCATCGGCCGCGGGAGAAGGGCGCTAAAGCTACTTTGCATAAAGCACTGGCGAAAACAGGGACAGAGAACGAGTGTGAAATGTGATTAGAGAATGAATCAGAGACAGTAAATTACTCCTGCTGTGGTCTCCTCGACTTAAACGGCTTTCTGAAAGGAGTTACGTAGGTCACGGGTTGTTTAACAACCCTGGTCAGATCAGTGCCACATTCTTAGCTGTCTCCATTCCTTGATATGTATATGAAAGGAACACCTCTTTAAAACAGGTGATAGCTTTTTTCACAAGCCACCCCGGGAGCACCTTGGTAATAACTCCATTCAAATATTTGACAGTCTTGGCGATATCTTTGGATATCACCCCTTTCCTGCCTCGAGCAGAAGTTAAACTTCTTAAATCCGTAGACTTGATCTTCTAAACTCACACCTTACTCTTGTTTAGATAACCACCGAGGAAAAACGGGAACAAAAACAAGTGTTAAGCTGGATTTCCACTCTTGCATTTTAGTCTACGCACGTGAACGCGCGTCAAAAGAAATCGTACCTTGAATTGAATGTTTGAGCGCAAAAACGCATCCGTTGGGCAAACGTTGTCACATTTCCAGTTGTATTTTTTTTCCAACGAATGTTGCAATCGCGAGAGTGCAGAGAAAAGTTAAACAGTATTCAACTTTAATGCACGGGCCTGCGTTTTTCGCACGCGAAGAAAAAAAGCGTGGTATTGAATTGTACGCATGTTTTACGAACATAGAAAAATGCGCGACACTGGAAATCCATCTTTATCCTGTAACTTTGACAGATAAACTTGACACGATGATTATTACATTTATTAGTTTCATTTGTAACAATAAGACTGAGAGTGTTGTTTCAAATTGCTAGACATGAAAAAATATGATTTCCAGTTTGATACAGCGAGGTCTGCAACTTGTAAGAGGATAAAGTTAGGTTGAATGAAATGACGTGAGGCGGAATGAAGAACCGTGCTAGAGATGTAAGCTCTAAAATCAAAATCCTTTTACAAACCCAGGGGATCTTATGAAATCTGGAGTTAAATCAATTTATAAACCTGCTCAAATAGACAAAACAACCGCAACAACAAGGCATTTGAGCAACGTGCTTTCTAAACAATTTTTTGCAAGCGTTTTCCCTGCAGTAAATGTTTCTTCTCTGCTTGAAGGTTCAGCGTAATTTACAGCTATTTGCGTAAAACTCTTCCGAATCCGACTCCATTTATCAACAGATTCACTGCATACAGTCAATGGTTTGAACTCGGGGCCAACACTTAATCTTGTAGTCTTATCGTCCGGGTGAAGGTGGTCCTTAGAAGGAATGTTGACTTTGACTTACGAAGCACACTGACTGGGACTCTGCGCAATGCCTAACCTACGGCACTAACTATTCTCAACGACTGACTCTAGAGAGCTGGTTTACTTACTTAGAACAGACTCCCCTCAACAGGTGTCAACTACTACCAGCACCATACAAACGACTTTTTCACGACACTTTCACTGCGACGACCGAACAGAACGACCTTACATCACCGGGGTATCGGAACTGACTGTTCATGACCGGCTTAAACCACATGAGTTTCATAGCCAATAACATCACGCGAAACTGACGAATCAGTTTACACGAACCGGACTAACAACACTCGACTGACCAAAACTCTTTTCTTGACTCTGGATGATGACTTCAGCTCAGGTAGCTGTAACGTCAGTCACCGCGACAACAGGACTTTGATGTTGGGGCGACACAACTCCGATGTTGGGGCGACGTAACTTCGGTTGGGGCGACGTAACCTGGAGCGGCAAGGCAATGGAGCGACACAACCTGACACCACATAAACGGACGATCAGACTACATGCTCAGACTGACTGCAGGGAGTCAACCAGCCGAGAATATGTTGGTAGGATTTGGATTTTACAGAATAAATAAAGTTTTATTTGTTCATTCAGTCTTGGGCGAGGAAATTGCGAATGAAAACCACACCTGGGTAAGATTTTGCTAACCTCTTTATTAAAAAAAATAAACTGTCGAAAATCCAAGACGCTGTAGTTCATATGGCTAATCTCAAAGTTTCTCAGTTCCGAGTAGAAATATAGCGATCACTTTACAAAAATATATTCATTAATCATACAAAATTAGTAAGAAAGCTTCATGAGAGAGACTATTCTCTCATTATAGCCATAAAACAAAAAATTTATACTTCAGTTACAACCTGGTAATTACAAATTCATAGGATTAAAGTTAATCGAATTTTGAACCACTTTAGATACCGTCTTTCAGGTTTGAAACAGCATACTATAATATTGGAAATTCAATTAGGAAATGAAGGGAGTATTCTTAATCATATAAAATATTTTTTAAGAGGAAAATAAAGCGATTTGCCGACATATCAGCTCCTGTAATCAAAAAATTATATCCAATGCTATCGAAACTCCTTTATAGGTTTCGGATTACTTCACGAAAATTTGTCAAATGAGAACTTGCGTCTTAGTGAATAGCAGCCTATCTATGTCCGCTAGTTTCTTTACCTTTTACTGTTAAATACTATTAGAGCTTAGAAAACAGATTTGCTCCGCTGAAAACGAACATATTGTCCTAACATTTAAATAGGAGATGTCGCAGACTCTTACAAAATAGAGACATCGGGTTTGATTAAGCAATGATATTTTTCACTTAAGGGTCAAAACAGTCTAGAATTGGAAAGGTTTTCCTCAACTTGGCGCTGTTAAATCACCCTAACATCGCAACCAATTGGATGTAGAACTGAAATCAGTCGTGCCTTTGTCACTTGCGTTTTCCCACGCTTCTGGCACTTGGCTTACTTTTTCTTTGAGCTCTGATTGGCTCATAGTGATATCTTCCTTGGTCTGGATTGGCCTTTGTGATTCGCTGTGATTACTTTGGTTTCCGTTTTACGACATTGAATCGAATTGCGCTCTTACGAATTACTTAATTTTATGAAACT